AATGAAGAAGTAATTGTTGATGAATATTCGCATTCGTAAATGCTCCTCACGTAATGTGGCATAGGTCTTGTTATTGGCCACCTTCCAGCCTCTCCAAATACTTTGAAGGAAAGGTGGACGAATGGCGAATGTGGAGGTGAGGAGAAGGAGAGTGAGGCAGAGCGAGCTGCGTCTGACCAGCATAGTGTAAGTAGGACAATGGGATGCAGGTGTGGGGGCCTACTACTTATATACATGCGAGTGTATACACAGTTAGCACGGACAAATTAATGATGCAACAGGCTCCTGTGTGACATGTTGTATATGAAAGAAGGCATGCGATGTAATGGGTGGTGCCGAGGTGGCATGAGTAAGAGCAATTTACAGCAGTTGTGGTGTGACGAAGGACTGCAGATTCATTAATTGTATACATGGTTGTGGCGCACGCAGCGGTAGATGACCGAGTGGGTATTAGTGTAGAGCAATTCAAGTCAGTGGTTAAAGGTCATTAGGGTAGATAGACTGCAAAAATAAGTTAAGATGAAAGGACATTGAAATTCATAAATTAAATCCTCCGACCGCTGAATGAATTTAACTAGTGCTAGTTAAATCCAATGATTGCCTTGGAAATTATCGAAGCCGAATAAATTGGGTGGACTTTCCCGGCCTCCCGATTCACAGTCACCGCATTAGAGAGACAGTTGTTGAGGAAATCGGTGTAATCAATCCTACCCCTAATGAACAAGCATCGCGATTCTGCAGTTTCGATACTACACTCGATCGTCAGAATGATGGCATGCATTACAGGGCGGGCAATCACATCACCGGCCTACTACGCCTCTCCTCCACCTTCCTCTCATCTCGTCTCGTCTCGTTTCGGCCCGAAGGATTGCCTTTCCACACACCCCAACATAATGCACATTCACACACACACCCACGCACGAACCAAAGAAAATGAGCACACTCGGTCACATCTCTCCATACACTTTGTGTTTTACTCGTTTTCACTGCCCTGCTAGGATCCACACTGCTCCCTTTCCCATGCAATTTGGTAAAACCACCTCTTAAGTCGGACCGACCGACCGAAGCCTCGACTGACTGTGCGAGAAAGCGTGTCACACAGTGTGCGTCACAGAGCGAACACATTCACGACCACCCTATGTTTGCATTTCACTGTGTGCCACTGCCTGTCATAGCTTCTGTATACTATGTCATTCGGCCCGGCCGCACATAAGCACGGCGCCACAAGAAGTAGACGGGTGTGGTGTTGGTAATGTCAACTGAGCTACACCTTCACTATGGTCATCCGATTTCGGTTGGGCAGTAAACAGGCACGAAATAAGTAGAAGACGAAGAGGGTGGCTGGAAGGGTGCAGGAGAAAGAATGGGAAAATGAGGGTGAGGGACAAAGTTGGGTAGGGAAGGAAGGATGAAATGAAGCGGGAAATGGATAATTGAAATCGGTGATGACTGTGGTAGTGGAGGTGATTTGGGTAGACCTGTGCAGATCGAAGGTTAGTTGGCACACTGCAGAGCAGTGGGAAGCGAGCAGTCTGTTGACACGTTAATGGGGTGGTCTGCAAGGCAAATGGAGGTAAGGCAAAAGTAGCGTGTGTGTGTGTGTGTGTTGGCTCTCTTGGGGTAGATGCGAGGGGACAGTGGAAGGTGTAGAAGGACGTCATGGCAGTGGCAGCTGACTTCCAGGAATGTGAAGCGTTCTCACGTTAGGACCTCACGAGGACATAAGTTAAGCCCAATCTTGGCAACCTAACCGTGACAATAAGACCCGTAGTCCAAGCGTTTGTCATTGTGAATCCTTGTCAGAGCACGAGATGATTGACTGGCCGAGCGCTGTCCCTCCTTCTCACCTCTTCTACCCCTTTAATCCCCTCTGCTGCTCTGCACCTATTCCTTCATCATATCTACCACAGTTGTCTGACCTCCTAATGGACGATTTGTGGATGAGGCCGATCCTCACAGTGTGCGTCAGCTATGATTAATAATAAGATGGCATACCCGGCATCTACAGGCTATAGGACCGCTACGATAGCATGCCTTTGTATATCTACAAATCCCAAGTCATCTATTTGTCCTTAGAACCCTTGTCACTCGCATACATGCATTCCTCATCAGTGGCATGATTTGGATGCCTGAAAGCCTTGATAGTTGCCCTTATAAATTTCCGATTCTGATAACATTCGCTCGGCCTCCCCTCTCCGAATGCAT